ATTTATAACTAAACTGCAGGTACTTTTACATTATACAAGTCATACTAATACACTAGTCACTACATCATACACTTACTAAATTAGGATTACTCCAGTTGATATCTGCCCCATTAGAGAGGGCAGTGCTCATTCCTTCTATATTTCCATCTTGAGCAGCACCCCACAACTGTCGGTCCTACAGTATTAACAAGTGAATGAGTGTATTATTAACAGTTATTATAATAGTAATATCAATCACTCCTATGTCTCATTATCACATAATCTCATTCAAACACAAAATCCACAGAATATGTAACCAGTGACAATAACCGACCATAAACAACACATAAACAATACATGTACATATAAAAACAACTTTTAATGTAAAAATTCACAAACAACTGAGCCATTCATTAACATGTACTTGTATAACATATGAGAGTATTTTTGACGCTGAAGAAATTTATTGAAGAAATTTTGAAGAAATTCTCAACCAATTAAATTTTGGCAACTTCATTAACTCCGAACATGTGGCAGCTAATAATTGACAATAATTTGTGAGTTTCAATTTGGAGTATTCTTGTAATTTAAGGACTTGAGACAAATTGAATCCCTCACCAATAAATCCTGCAATACAGTACAAGTACATTGTACATGTATATCCTTATAAGGAAAGAGAGTGTCCCTCCCTCTACAAAGAGTGTGTCTGGTGTATTAGTATACATTGAATCATTGAGTATCTATGACTGGACACATAAGTAGGACTAGGACTAGGGTAGTAGGAGGAGGAACACCTAGTGACAATATTACATAAATACCCAGTGGAAGAGATACAAACTACTACACTACTAGATGAGGGTCCCATTACTGACATTGTTATGATAACACATTATACTATCTACAATACACTGGACTAATGTTTACTGGTATTCCTAATTTAGTGGATTTCATGCATCATCTAACACAATTTGTAAATAATTAAATTCCAGGAAATTCAATTATGCTGAGTATAATTAATCCTGGCCCAAAATGGAGGCTTTAATCTTCATAAAACCGTACACGCCAAATACGTATACGCTTGCGAAATCAAAATAAGCCAAATAGCATCCTGATTGCATAGTAGTTGTGGTAATTGCATTAAAATCATGAAATTTATATTCACAAATACAAAAATGCACCCAAAACTACAAAATTTTATACCCACAAATTACAGTACCGCTCAGCTATAAGTTTTCGTTTACACGAGTAATCTCCAGCATTACCTGCGTTCCACACTGGTGCAATAACTACACGAGTGCACCACAACACGAGATAAGTACATGATGTAAATGATAAATACACTATACAGGTGCACCTTCACTAGTGCAGCTTGGATACATAGCCAAGCTGCACCCGTGTCGTGTACAGAATAAGTAAACTTATAGCTGAGCGGTACTGTATATGGTGCATCTTGATGGTACACATGAGGTTATTCAATGTCAGCTAAACTTTTCATTATTTTTATTTAAAATTAAAAATTACCAAAAATGTAAAAATATGATGGAAAAAAATTTGTGAATAGTATGCAAAATGCACCATGTGGCAAAAAATGCAAATTTTTGTAAATTTTAATTTAGCAACAGAGCATGCAAAAACACAAAAGTTAGGAAAACATTTACCAAAAAAATAAACTTGTTTTATGGAGTGATAATAATGACATTAAACCATTCAATAATAAACTTCACAAGACCAATAAACCCCAGTCTATGGTATACTGTAATGTCTTAAGGTACATGTACATGTACATGGAGTTGGTTGATACCGTATAGTAGGAAATTTTTGCTGCCAAATACATTTGTGTACTTTCACTGTCTTTCCAAGCTGGCTTTAGAAGATATTTTTATTGATTTTATTTTCGTTTTGCCTTGTTAATCTATCATAAATTATTCACTGTCACGCCCACTTAATTTATGCCACATGTATGGTTTAAGATGAAGAATTAGTCAGGAAGTCCATGGTTTGTGATTACCAAAATTATATGGCATTAGGAGCCCATCAGTTGGAGAAGAACTGCTTTGAAGTTGATGTGTTGAGCCTGATAATGCCACAGATTGCTAAGCCATGGCTATACAGTAATTGAAATCATAAACACTGTTCAGTGACTCCACCCTTCCCTCTAAGGAATATATGAATATCATTATAATATCAATGAATTATTATTACCACACACAATACTCTACACTGGGATACTTCATTGGATTATTTTTATTTCATTTTAGATTAGCTTTGTTTAGTTTAAGTTCTGAGCTGTCATTTTGTACATGTAACATTGAGGAATGACTTTTCTCATTTGGAGAATATTCATTCCACAAGGAATGAGAATGAAAAGAACTACATGAAACTCTGCCTGATATACAGTAACACTAGCTCTGGTAACACACTGTATGCTATCATAAGGTACAAGAGGAAATATTAACTCTACATGTATTACTGGAAGCAATGATACATGTCACACCATGTACAGCACTGGTCAGTGGACAAACCTATGATACCTGAACTAGAGTAACTCGTTTGGTGAATGCAATAAAAACATGATAATACATCACTGTACATGTAGCTAAGCCCCAACATGAAGTTTTGAATATACACAAGTTACGTTTGCCTGAGATTGTGGTAACATTTGAGCATGAATGATATTAGTTTACAACTAGTACAAGTACAAATGTATGTGTCTATGGAAACAGTCAACCATATGCAAACTATAGAAACTCAAACTCAACTTAAACACAAATCATGTCAACTTATTGCTGGCCAGTCCTGTATGTTTAGGGTAACTTATACAATAAAGGTGGGACTCCTCCCTTTCCCTCTATCCCCCTGACCTTATACCATCCCCACAAGTGATAATAACATGCCGGTAATTTTTGTGGGTCCTACACGTATTTCGCGAAATCTCCTAAAATTTCATTTCTCGGATTTAAATTTTATGAATTCTACCACGTGTCATGCAGGTACTGTATTAAATTGATTTTTGAGGATTTTATTCAGAAGGGAATCCGCAAAATTTTCAACCCACAAAAATTACTGGCTATACGGCAGTGTATAGTGGGTTTATATAAAGGAGAGACAGTATACTGAGGGTATGATCCCGCTCCAGATCAAACACTAATCAACAGTACACATTACATTATCTTCACTAACACACAATATACTCTACAATACATTAATCATATCCTCTACTGATAGTTCACATACTTACTGGAGTTAAACCAGTAGACATGGTTAGTGCAGTATTAAGAAGTTTATTGAAAAGTGAGAAAACAAAACAGTTAGCCTAGCAGGAGCAGGAGCAGGAGCAGCAGCTTGATCACAGTGCGTCTTTCTAAATGTGATAGGGCGTGTCTAACAATAATCATATAGGGGCGCGTCTATCCAAACCACGTGGACACACGTGTCCTAAGTGTCATTCAGACATTCACTATTGAAACACACATTGACAGAGTTTGACGAGGGAACTGGTACCTTTCCTTATTTCATAGTCCTTCTCTACGGGATATTCCTACTAGTTATAACTTACTTCATTTGGCCCAAGAGCAAGAAAAGTGAATTGAATTAGTACTGTATTGTGGGCTTTAATTAGAACATTAATGTTATTGTTAGCAGATGACAGAAGGAGTGAGTGCCAGTGTGAGCCATGTTGTCAGAAAAGAAATAAAGTGGAGAAGAGACGGACTATAGATAAACTATTTAAAATGATACAGTAAATAATAATGATGTCATTTATATCAATTACCGTATAGCAAAAAATTGTGTGGCCCAAAAGTTGCGTGGATTTTGCTCTTTTCAAAATTCACAGACAATAAAATCTGCAAAATATGATTCAATATGGGTTCAAAATAGCTGAAAAGTAGAAAACTGCAAAAAATAAAGTGACAAAATTAATTTTTTGAAATGATTTGTGAAATTATGGGCCACGAAAATTTTCCACTATATGACATTGCATTAGTATGGGTCATGTACAGTAATGATTGTCTAAAATTATCAGTTAGTCTCTTGTTTGTTAGTTATTTAGTATTATTGGTGTGCTGGTTGTTCTTATTTTGGTTGATTTATTGGGCAGTGACACAAGAACCAGTTGGTGAATCTGAAGAATGGGATCCATTTAAAATACTAGGGATTGACAGGGTATGCAGTATCATAATATCCAGCTGTCTTTAATGTATCAGTTCTTTAGTGAGCTACTGTGTCCCAGATCAAGAAGCAGTACAGGCTATTAAGTATGACCCTTCATCCTGATAAAGGAGAGGACCCTGAGGTATTCACTAAAATAGCTAAAGCTTATGAAGAGTAAGTCCCTCCATAAAGAGACTATCATGATATGCGTACATGTATATATAAAAGCAGTTAATACAGTAACCAGTGTATATACATGTAATTGTTTGATGTAGTTTGACTCAAGAGGAGGCTAGGGAGAATTTGGAGAAGTATGGTAACCCTGATGGACCAAGAGCTGCTTCATTTGGTATAGCACGGCCCTCTTGGATTATTGATAAGAATAACTCATTCTGGGTAGGTGTGGTCACTTTAATTACTAGTTATTAATAGTTATTAATAGGTTCTAGGTGCATATGGGTTGGTATTTATTATCGGACTCCTTATCATTGTTGTAAGGTATCATTAATGTTGTCATGGTTACGGTTATGCCCTACCCCTCAGAGTAGTTGGTGGTATAAATCAGTGAAGTATGGTAGCACTAATATATTGATACAGACTAGTAAACTGTACTCCCACCTGCTGTCCAGAGCCAAGACAATGCCTGTACTAAGTGAGAATGAATTAATAAATGATAATGACACATGTACTGGTACACAGGAGTGCTGATGATCCTAGCTACAGCAGTTGAGTTCTCTCCCAGTAATCAGGACGGAGTGAAGAACAGACCCAGTGATGATATGTAATTGAATGAACTGGTCAAGAAACTAGAACACACCATGAGAGTGGATACCAGAGAGCAACCGTTCTAGCTGTCAGACCTACGTAGCTAAAGCAAGACTGCTTGTACACGCCTAGTTTGAGTGAATACCATTACAAGGCCCTGGACTGAAACAAGGTACAAATGTCATGAATGTAATTTTAGATTTCTTATGAATTTTTGAAGTTGCTCAAAAATTGGGTCAAAGTCCCTGTACTATCAGGGGTGTTGGCCAAATTTCGCCAAAAATGTCAAGTAGAAAATTCTCAATTTTTATAACATTTTCCAATGCACATACATGACTTATGTTGTGTATAAAGTCTGAGCTGATTCCAATCAAGATTTGATTTTTATGAATTTTTTTAATTGCTCTAAAGCCATTGCTTGCTGTGAAAAAATTTTAAATATAGCCAAACACCCAAATGGATCTAAAATGCTAAATTAATGCACACAATTAAAAGTGAACTTGAGGCATTTTTATTCATTTTATTTTTTTGTAATAATTGTGTACCTTATTGTATTGATAATATTGTATCCTCTTCTCTCTCTCCTATAGTTGAGTTATGCTGATATGATGAAGAGAGTTGATCCGTTACGTAAAGAATTGAAAGATTTGGAAACCAAAGCTGAGGACACTCGTCAAAAAGGAGAAGAAATAACAAAAATAATAGCAGAACTTGAAGCCTCTATAGCAAAGTAAAGAACAAAACAAAATACATTAAAAGTGAAACTTATATTTTTAATTTTATTTCTTTACTTAGATATAAAGAAGAATATGCAATGGTTATATCTGATGCTAGTGTTATTAAGAATGATTTATCAACTGTTGAGAAAAAGGTAAAGTATTTTAATAATTAAAGATACATTAATTATCTTTTATTAATAAT